GGCATGACTCCTTTTACTTATGTTTTTAACACAGCATCCATTTCCTAGAAATGACACGATGAGCAAATAAACACCCAGCTACATTACCATTTTCCAATTCTTGAGAGTCCAGTGTGATGAAACACAGAAATTCCAGCTTCCCTCTTTTAGCCCCCATTTCCTCTCCCTATTCAAAGCCTCAAACTAATCAAGAATACCAGGCACCTACCAAATGCCCACCTCCCTTCTTAACAGTCTAAATCCAGCCTTTCCTTCGACTCCCAGAGCAAGCTGGACCAAGACAAAAGAACAGAAACCTAGCAGGCCACAGCGTGCCTGTGCAACACACACACACACACACACACACACACACACCTCTTACAAGCCTGGCTACTTGATTCAAGCTACTGGAAAATCTTCATGATTAAAAGTAAACTTTCCTCCTAGCCTTGCAGGCTTTCAGGATTTGTGTCAAGTGGAGACTTCTCATTCTGCAACCCAAGCTCTGGCAAATGATACACAAACCACAGTCTGCTAGAGTCTGCCTGTGCATCAAGACCTTCATAATCCTATTCACAGAACCCAATGAAGGGAGGGATCTGTAGGTGTGGAAGCTGCCAAAATGCCCCGTCTCCCTGGCTCACTAGCATCTGTATTCATCACCCTTAGCCCTCACCCTTCCCCATGGCTTAGTATGAGTTGAAGCCTTCTAAGCTGAATATGCGATTTATAGGTAGGAATGGCAGTTTGCCTTTCCAATATCAGGGTCTTGTATTAGTTTGGCTGACTGTAGGTTCTATGTACAGTGAAGGTTGGGTAGGTTGGTGAAAGATTCTACCCTTTAGAGAAGAAAACAGGTTTATTTAGTGCAGAGTACCGAGAGCAGAGGGCCTGAAAGCAATGGAAGAACCAGCATATGGTGATGGGCTATGACAGAGTCTCTGCTTTCAAGGAGCCCTCATGTGGTGAGGGTGGGCATTATAGAGTTCCTGCCACACAGATGGAGGAAGCTGTTGTAGTGGATTGTAGTTCTTCTTTGGCCACACCATTCTGCTGTTCCACTGGGAAGGAACACAATGTGTCTTTTCTGTTCCGTAGACACTTTCCGGGCCAGGTTTTAATCTCTTTCTGGTCTCTCAATCATGCCTTTCCCTCGGCACTATTTTAAAAGTCTGGAAACCACTTCTCCACGGCTCCACTGGTGTGAGTCACAGACGGGGAAACTGGAGTTCCAGGGCAAGGGACCTGCTAGATCTAGATCGCTCCTAGATCTTTCTCCAGGTAGAGTCAAGTCCTTTGTCACACTCGGTTCTTTCCTGCCCAAGTTTCTGGCTCCATCCCGAAGGCCCAGCTGGGGGGGTCAAAAATTTACTGTGGATGGCCCTGGTCTCATTCACCCCATTTAAGCAGCATGAAATCCCAGGGTCCCATTCTAAATAATGTTCTACTCCAAGAAACACAGTGAACTGCAGAGAACTGTCCTTGAGTTCCCTTGTTATAACCTGAAACTGCTGCCTGGAAAACAACCAAAAAAAGGCTAAAGAGGCTGTAACACAACACTACAGATGACAATGTTAACACCCCCTCAAGGCGAAGGGGGAAAGGTAGAGATGATTTTCCACGGCAGTGTCAGGGCTGCCCCACATTGCTCAACACCAAGGGGTGTGATGTGTATGGGGACTAGCATGGAATGCTGTCACCTCTCCGCAGGACAGTAAGGCCACTGCCTAAGGCCATGTGCACACACATGGGGGCATTTAAATATTCCTTCCTGTGTTTAGCTGGCAGACCTTTCCCTGGCAGGAGGGGATGACCCATGAGAAAGGAAAGTGACTGGGAGCTGGCTGACACCGAGAGACATGTGGGGACGCTGATGGTTAGGTTTTGGCCAACTTGACACAACTTGGAATCATCTGGGAAGAGAGAACGTTAATTGAGGCCATCAGATCGCCTGTAGGCAAATCTGTTTGATTAATGATTGGTGAAGAAAGGCCCAGCCCACTGTGATCAGTGCCGGTGCTGGCAAGGTGGTCAGTCCTGGATGGTATAATAAAGCAAGCCATGGCGGGCAAGCCGTAAACCGCCTTCTTCCATGGTCTCTCCTTTAGTTCCTGCCTCCAGGTTCCTGCTGGAGTTCCTGCCCAGGCTCCCCTCAGAGTCAGATTGTGAAGGGAAATGTAAACCCCCTCCCCCTCCAAGTTGATTTTGTTAAGTGTTTTCTCACAGCTGCAGAAAGGAAAGCAAGGCTGGGACGTCCCCACAGAAACAGCCAGGAACAGATACTTCTCGGGACCTCTACCTGAATACATCTTGCTCATTGCATCAGAGTCTGCACCTTCCGGTTAAAGCCCCAGGAAGAATTCCTTACAGAGGCACTCTCTGGTGACAAACACTTCCCTGACCAGCAGCAAAGCTGGCTAGCTGTGACCCTTTGGCCTCTGCTCTTTAACCTTGTCCAGGGAAGGAATCGGGTAGGACGTGGATTGCTTGAGTCACGTAAGAGGTGGTGGGATTTGAGCAGGGAACCAGACAGAGGCTATGGAACAGATGAGTGGGACTCGGCTGGCGAAGCTTCATGCATCTGTGGCTTTGGAGATTGTCATGTTCAGGTTTTTGGTTTTGGTTTTGGTTTGTTAGATTTTTGATTTTTAGAGATAGAGTTTCTCTGTGAAACAGTCCTGGCTGTCCTGGAATTCACTCTGTAGACCAGGCTGGCCTCGAACACACAGTCAACACAGAGATTCACCTACCTCTGCCTCCTGAGTGCTGGGATTAAAGACATGTGCCACCACTGCCTGACTGTTATATTTAGTTTTAACTGTCAACTTAGCACAGTCTAAAATCTCCTGAGAGAGGAGTCTCCATTGAGTGGTTGCCCAGATCAGATTGGTCAGTGTGCATGTCTCTGGGGGATTGTCTTGATTGCTAATGTAGGAGGGCCCAGCCCACCATGGGTGGTGCCATGCTCTGGGCCCTTGGTTCTGGGCTGTATGACAAGGCTAGCTAAACATACGCCTCTTAGCCAGCCAGCAAGAAACATTCCACCATGGTTTCTGCTTTCAGTACCTACATGAATCCCTGTCTTCACTTTCCTCCACGGTGGACTTTAACATGGAAGCGTAAGCCAAATAAACCCTTTCACCCCTAAGTTGCTTTGGGGCATGGTGTTTGCCATGGCAACAGAATGAACTATGAGAGGCCAAGCTGAGGCAGTATGCTGTTTCCACCATATGTCCCAGAAAAACGAGCAGGGACAAGACTGGAAAATGAGAGAGGGTCTTGACACACAGTCAGCTACACCCGTGTCTGTGCACCGTGTGGCCCATGACCTCCATGGGCACAGCTTTGACACTTGTGTGTCAGAATTAAGCTGTTTCCCCAGGGCTCCATTCTACCCTCCAGGAGAATGAGGTCATTTCCAGCTCTGGACCTTACCTTGATGAAACAAAGGCTCAGTCCCCAGAAATACACCAGAGATTCAGGGACAGAGAATGTTCACAGTCCCTAATGACCAGAAATGTAACGATCGAGGAACATTTCCAAGGACACACTTCGATTGGGAGTAGTCTGCAGGTTTAAAGATGTTAACTCCTCTATCCTCTTAAAAGCCTAATATGGAGTTCAATGAGGATGCTCCCTCCAAAATTCATGTTGAAACCCAACCTCGCAGTGGATTGAGAAGCATGGTCTTTGGGGATGAGAGTCATAAGAGCTCCAACACTGTGCATGGATCAGCTGCTCTTAGGTTGTAGTCGAAGGATTCCAGGCCCTTCTCACCCATCTTGTCCGCTCTGTCTTGGGAAAGGTCATGGATCAGGTAACACTTGGGAAGCAGAGACCAGGCTCCCTCCAGTCCAAGTTTCTCTTCTTGACAGATGATGCTGCCTTAAGTGTTTTGTTCCACAGCACCCATGAGGTAGGTGCTATTACTGTCTAATGTTTGCCAGGGATCAGGAAGACTGAACTCAGCCAGCACAGCTTTGGAATGATAGGCTTAAAATAATAGGCTGGAGAAATAGCTCAGTACTTAACAGCACTGGCTGCTCTTGCAGTGGACCCAGGTTCCGTTCTCAGCACCTAGGCAGTGGCTCACAACTGTCTGTAATTCCAGTTCTGGGGTATTTAGGCCCTCTTCAGGCAATGTGTGCATGTGGGGCACATGAAAGCAGAACTCATAGACATAAGATAAAAGTAAAAGTTTAAAAAAAATGATAGCTTCAAATATGTATTTTTACTATTTTGTAATTACGTATATGTGTATATCTAAATGCATAAGCGTAAGTACATGCTCTTAACTGCTGAGCCTTTTCTCCACTCCCTTCAAAGGATTTTCTTCATGGGAGAAGACTATGCCTAAACTATTCAAAAGTGGGCAGAAAAGGCATGTTTGCATATATTGAAAATACGGCCCTGCATGGTGGTACACGCCTTTACTCTCAGCACTCAAAAGGCAGAGGCAGGCAGATCTCTCTGAATTTGAAGGCCCCTGGGCTACGTAGTGAGTATCAGGCCAGCCAAGATATGTAGTGAGACCCTATACCAAACAAAATCAAACAACAAAAACATACTGAGAAGGAATCTTAGAAGCAGACCAGAGGCTCCTAGTGATAACAGGCTTGTCCCCTTATGTGTGGATGCTTACAGACAATTGTTTATCTCCCAGTAGGCTTTTCTTCGATTCCCAAGTATTCCACCATGAGCTTATATACTTTTTGCAACGAGAAAAGGATGCGTAATACTTGTCCCTGTTTCTAAGCACTCTGTGATGGCAGCATTGGCCCCTTGTCTTCTGATTGTCTCACAGTATAGACCATGGGCTCTAGCTCCTACCATCCCCAGAAAGCTTCCCCAGCTCCGACTCAGTGAACTTTGGGTGCTGTTTCCAAGCAAAGCCAATTTCATTTCTCCAAACAACAGTGACACGAAGCAGCTTTTTCACCCTGGTCAGTTCTTGCCACATATTTGGGATGCCAAGATTCTTTTAAATAGTGTGGAAAGTCCCAACAACCAGCCTGGATGTCAACTTCTGAGTAAATAATTTCTCTTGCCAACATTCCTTTCTGGGGTGAGCCTTCCAACTTTTCACAGTATGCTGTCTGTAACCTCTGCACAGCGTCAGGCCCTGTGGTAAGCAGCATACAGCCTGCACCCACATGGGCCATGAAGGATGCTGGGTCCAGATTCCTTCAGAGCATCTTGATTTCCTGTTGAGAGGTGGTAGCTGCTGCAGGTAGTGAACTACTGGAGAGAAAGAGGTCCTACTTCAGAGACAGAACAGCAAAATCAAGGCGATCCTCCAGCAACGAGCTCACTTCCTTTTGTGTTGCTGCCTGGACATGGGTGGAAGGTAAAGGTGAATCTCCGTGTAACTCCCCCTCACTCATGGAATACAGCAGCCCTCTGTCACCTATGCTGTGGTGGATGGAAAGAGACGATTCCAATTTTTTTTTTTTTTTGGTTTTTCGAGACAGGGTTTCTCTGTGTAGCTTTGCGCCTTTCCTGGGACTCACTCG